TTCTTCACTATACTATGAAATTAAATTCACAAAGTTACACCATATCGTTTATATTTCATATGAAAAATATGGCACGTATAACTTCTGTTACTTTTTTTTTTTTTTTTTTTAAATTTCCTTTTATGTCTCGTTATTATATTTACTCTGTATTAATTTTTTTATTTTATTACTATGAAGTTGTAAATAACTTGTCAAAAATTGTTAACTGAACTTGACATATGGGATTGACCGACTGATGTGTGTTTTGATATAGACATATAGTTTGTGCAATAATAATAAAATGTGATGAAGTTTAGAATTTAATATATAGTTTTTTTTTACTGGGTTGTTTTCTTCACTTATCCGCACAAGCATAATGAGTGCAGACATTGACTAGCTGATTCCGATGACAGTATGTGACCCCACAAGGTAGCAAGATTGAGTGTAGTGCATATTCATACCTTTAAAAAAAATCCTTTTTTAATTGTACACCTTTTGAAATAGAGGTACATAGCAGCCTAGCTTGGGACTCCTTTGCCATCTGGATATCATATATATTCAAACCGAGTAACCGACTGCGTTAGATCAAATTCAATTCGTATAAAAAATTATTTTCTCTTACTAAAATTACAAATTGTTGACGTAATAATACTTTTAGTAGGAAAACCCATTGTGATTTGTGAGTTAATTTGGGTCAAGTTTAGTTTTATATAGCAGCATCAGGTTAAGGTTGGGTAGCAATTTGGTCCGTACAGAATGTTTCCCTACAATTAACTTTTTGGCTATGTGGGAGGGCAGGAAAGTAAAAAAGGAAAAAGAAAGCAATCAAAAAGTTTATCAAACTAGTAATGATTTCCTCCACGCTTCTCACGCATACTCATTTGACATTGATTGCAATATAATCACTTGTATCGTTGACACCCTAATCTTTGATCATTATTCAACTCTCTCATCTTCTACGCCCATTATTGCATTTAGTTTGACAAATAATCTTATTGGCTTTTTTGGGAAAGCTGTGGCCTGTTTCGAGTGTAAGTGGAGTAGCTCCTATATTGAGTTATATACCAAGAAAGAAAGACATAGTATTGAAAACTATAGAAGAAATGAGTAGTGGGTGGTGACATAGTCATAGCCTTTAGTTTCGATATTATATTGAATGATATATTATGTTTGAACTAATATCATAAGTTGATAACCAACTTGGTTAGCGTGAGTGGTCGTGCACTCTCGTCCCTTAAGAAAGGTGTCTCCTAGAGTCAATAACGAACCTCAAGAGAATTTTGTTATATCTTATTCCAAAATGTTGAATCCCCAACCCTAAGGACCTCGCACACCCTTGTCCGATAGAACATTTGGGGGGATGTAAATCACGGTGATCCCCACTGTCAAGGTTCGAGCATTAGCATCTTCTCCCAAATACTATCTATCGAACCATTGAGGGGGCATCAAATACATGGTATGTTGTCTAGAGGATGACAACACATTTTTTTACTTACAAACACATAAGTATTATAATTGAATGAGAGATTAATAGAAAAAATACATACATTCTCTTATTCTTTTGCATTATCTTTATTTTTAATATTTTTTTTAAATCTAGAATTGATTAATATAGACTTCCATTTTAATAATTTCCATCATATAATGCTCAATAATTTTTTTGGTTTATATATAAGAAAGGAGTATAAAATGTGTAGCGGATGGATATTTTACTCAAAAAGATGGGTGAGAACTGTTTTGAGGGCCCTTATTTTCATTTTGATGCTAAAGCAAGATTTTACCTTTTCTCTTGTTGTTATGTCAAATCAGAGTAGATGTGTTGAGAACCCATTGCACGGTTGAGGATATTCATTTCTTTTTTTTTTCTTTTTCTTTTTTTTTTCCTTTAATTTACCCAATATGAATCCAACTCCAAATACTCTTACATAACATTGTCACATTTAATTATAACATTAATTAAACTTTTTTAAGACAAAAAATCCTCAAGAATCAATCGCTAATTTATAGGCTCTAATTAGAAAAGCTGTAAAATTATAGTGTTTAGAGTATTGACGATTATATTGAATCAATAGTGTTCTGTGGTGCGAAAAAAAGTAATTGCATAGAAAAATAGTCATAAAAAATGAGATTAAAATTATAATTTGTCATTATGAACATTTATGTAAAATATATAAATAATAAATTTTCATAAAAAATGTTTTGTTTTTCATAATTTATTTTGCTATTGGGACAAAACTTAATTAATTGATTATATAATGTAAGATTAATAGCTTACTTTGGTGCTTTGTTGGTGACCGTAGTGCATCAGTCCAAATAATACCGAAAGAGCGGTATGAGTTTGTTGACATTTTTTTTTTCTTCACAAAACTTTACATTTGAGAATCTAAAACTATACTAGTATGCAATAAATACTATATTGCACCATGAGGGCATGGGGTGAGTTGTGACAAGTATGAAATAGTGAAAATTGCAGAGGAATAGAGTTAACGAAAACAAACTTTATATATATATATATATATATATATATATATATATATGTGTGTGTGTGTGTGTGTGTGTGTGTGTGTGTGTGTGTGTGTATGTGTGTGAATACTTAAGAAAACTTGAGATTATATATCTAGGCTTGACGTGCAATCATTTTTTTTTTATATAAACATGGTAAAATTTATTTTATTAAATAAATACTGTAAAAAAACGATCATTAAATTGGTCAGTAATTTAGTTGGACTCACAGCATGGTGAGTCTGCAACAAAGTTGCCAAAATTAGGCCTGCGTGTCTGATCCCCTTCTCTGTGGCCCAGTGTTTATTCTCCTTTGACCGCCAAATTTGACTCAAAATTAAATGATACAAATTAGGCTTATTAGTGAAAAAGGAAAAACACAAGCATTTAAAATTTGGTGACTACTATATTTGAATCTAGCTTTAAAATTTGGTGAAAAAACTAAAACTTTTGTATTTTGTAACAATTATATTAATACTTTTTAAAATTTGATAAATTAATAACAAATATTTGTATTTTATAACAATTATAATTTTCAATCCTAGAAAAAATTCAATCTAGCAAAGATTCCTTAAATTTGCAAAAAAAAATAAAACATAACATTATTTTTAGGGTTAGATATTATAATTGTCACAAAATACAAAAGTTTTGAGTTTCTTTTATAAGTTTTAAAAGTTTGAATATATTTTTCAAAAAAAAAAATACAAAAAATTGAGTTTTCCTGCCATTATACCTACAAATTACTTCGTATATGATAATTAATAACTTAATCACAACACTTTATACTCCATCCATTTTTTACTTTCTCATGTGATGACACGTAATAATATTGTAAAAGGGAAATAAAATATAAAAGAAAGGATTTTTTTTTTTTTTAGAAAAAAAGAAAACGAAAGAAAGAAAAATATGTTTCATGGAGAACAACCCTTTTCGGCTGAAAAAATGTTTTATATGAATTATGGTTGATGGATAAAAAATTTTATCAAAAAAATTATGCGACACGCTATATTATCATATTTAATAGAATATACTATTTTTCACTCATAATATTCATGCACCTTCTATCGCAATAAAATTATTCTGAATTGTCAAACCAATCTTGCTTTAAAAAAATAAATTTAATATTTTGAGTGACGAAGGAAACCCGTAACCTCTATCCAATGGCATGCATTGATTTAAACTAAGAAGATCAACATGACACTTTTATTGGAATAAAATTTGTAACTTTGTGGTTAAGTTAACGGTTTGATCAACTTTGCGGTTCTCTTATATATACACTTTTGCTTATAATAATTTAGCCAAGTTAACTTCAAAAAATAAACTATAAATTTATTATAATGTCAACATATAAACAATATTCTTTATATATATATATATATATATATATATATATATATATATATATATATACACACACACTTTTGCTTGTAATCAAGAATACATCAAATTATGTTTGCAACTGCTGTTTTCCTATATAACAAGTTTTTTCCCCCTTTTTATCTATCATTTATTAATCTTTATATGCTATTATTTTTTGGTTGTTATAATATGACAAAGGAATATAATGCAACTTTCATTCTTAGAAGAAACAAAAGTCATCTATCAATTCAAAATTTCAATATAAACTACTGGCATACATGTCGTCAAAGCCAGGTGTGTATGAATGAACAGATGATGACAAGTGGATGATGGGATGAAATGGCAAACCTAAGAAACTAATTTGGATTTAACTTTTGAGTCGCAAAGTTTGATTTAATTTTTTAGCGTAACATTTATTATATATTCTCCTATAAGAGTTCATCTTTAGACTTTACAGTTGTATTAGTAGTTCCGTTGTTGAACGTTTGAAATTACGGAATTTAGTAGTTACCTTGTTGAATGTCTTGATCGAATCGTGAAATTTGTGAAAGTGTGAGTAAGAAAAAGATTTCAGGCATTTCTTGAAACTCATTTGAATAAAAGATATTAGGTAATTATTAGATTATGAAAATTTCGCTTCGAACTTAAAGATAAAATTATGAAAGTAATTAAAATAATTGGAGCATACACATCCAAAGATAAAGTTATTAAAGTAATTGAAACGCTCTCTAATCTTATCGGTTTAAGTGTTTAACCCATGAGTGGCTAACTACACACTAACACACCCATAACCTTGACTATGGTTAATCACAACCGGTTGTGAAGCTTAGAACTCACCCGAATATAAAGTTATTAAAATAATTGAAACACATCCAAAGTGAAGGGACTCCTTGTGTACGGTAAGCAAAGGTCTAGCCTATCTGATTCAGCTGAGTTACTATGATTTACATCTTTCGGATACTCTGGTCAGAGTGTGGGGCCGTGAAAACCCTTGGGGTTGAGGATTCAATCTTTTGAAAAGAATTAAAAGTAATTAAAATGCTCTCTAATCTTATTGTTATGGGTTTAACCATGGGTGGCTAACTACACACCCATAACCTTGACCATGGTTAATCATACCACAACCGGTTGTGAAGCTTAAAAATAGAAAATTCTTTCTTTTTATCCTCCATTTGCTTCTTTCAAATATCCGTGCGTCTGTGTAAATGCCAACGCCGTCATGTATGAACATGGTGCGGGAAGAGAGCTGCGAAGAATCTTGATTTGCCGACCGACTCAATATTCCCGTCCCGTTCCCATTTTGCTCGATTCAAGCACAGATTTTTCTTCTTCCTCCTCGTATAATCGCTGCCATTTCCCAGAATAAGAAGGCCCCAAAAAAATTTCCAGAATAAAGAGAAACAGTTTCCAACGACTGCAGATGAAGCTTTGTCCTGTTTCGGGAACATACCCAGCCTTTTCTTGATTCTCCGTTCACTTTTCTTTTTCCGGCTTATACTGTAACTTTAGAAGCTTTCAGAGGTTTTTGGTAGGTGTGGGCTCGATATATCAGTTCATGAACAAAAACAAAAAATCATATGGAAGAGCTCCGGAATTCCTCGTCAATGGCGGCTCCTTCAGAGGGAGAACCGTCCGCTCAGCTCACTGTTGTATCCAAGAGAAGGCGAAGCCTTCCCGGAACTCCCGGTAATTTTTCTTGCTCGTGATGTTCAGAAATGGTGGGTTTTGTTTTGTTTTAATGGCGGCTGTGTTTTGCAGATCCGGATGCGGAAGTGATAGCTTTATCGCCGAAATCTCTCCTGGCGACGAACAGATTCGTGTGCGAGATCTGCAGCAAAGGGTTTCAGCGGGACCAGAATTTGCAGCTTCACCGGCGCGGCCACAACTTGCCGTGGACGCTAAAGCAGAGGGGCGGCAAGCCCAAGCGGCGCGTGTACGTCTGCCCGGAGACCACCTGCGTCCACCACCACCCCTCTCGAGCCCTCGGCGATCTCACCGGAATCAAGAAACACTTCTGCCGGAAGCACGGCGAGAAGAAGTTCAAGTGTGAACGGTGCAGCAAGAAATACGCCGTCCGGTCCGACTGGAAAGCCCATACCAAAACCTGCGGCACTAAAGAGTACCGTTGCGATTGCGGTACGATTTTTTCCAGGTAAAGTTTCATCATTTCTTCTCTCTCTTTACATTTAAATCTGATCACATATTTTCTAATATTCATTCATTTTCCATCTTATTATCTCAAGGAAGGATAGCTTTATCACCCATAGAGCCTTTTGCGACGCGTTGGCGCAAGAAACTATCAGATGTCAGCCATTAGAGGAACCTTCAAAAGTTGCACCGCCGCCGACCACGACGGCGACTTCTTCTTCCAGCCCCCCGCCGCCTCCTCTAACTCCGTCAACTGGAGTCTTGTCTCCGGTTGTTTCCGTCCAAAGCGCAGGTAAGATTAACTTAACTTAGCTTGATTTGAACTGATTAATTTCAGTACACTATTAGTAATGACTGTAAATTTTTTTTTCGATACTCAAAAGAAAAAAAAAAAAGTTTAATGCTTTCATAGTTTCATACATGCATAACTACAGCTGATCTGCAATGTGCTGCCTGTCAAACGAGGATGTTACAGTTACCTTAATAAATGTTTTGACTATGTTTCTTTGAAAATGTTTAAGTATTCAGAGTTTGTTGTGATTTGTCTATTATTATCCTTGTTTTAGTGAGGAGTTTTGCTATACTTTATATGGTATCATTAAATTATTCTTGGTATGTAGTGAGCTACAATTATTTATACTCAAAACATAATTATTTCCTTGTTTGAACTAAGATAGAATATTGATGAAACTATAAAATTCTTAGTATGTCACAATGTTACGTTTTGTTATGATTGCTTCGTGTCATTCTTTTAGTGCATTGGTTTCTGTATAGAGTAAGATGAAACTATAAAATGTTTTAGTACATACGTTACACAAAGAAAAGAATAATGTTACGTTTTGCCATGATGTTAAGCACCTCGTGCTCAAATGACATCTCTGTGGCTCCGGTTGAGGAAAGGTCACAGGATTGAACCCCGGTGGTGAGGTATTGACTCTTTAGACTGCAATAGTTAGAAAAAGTATAGAACAGATATTATCTTTACGTAACTAATCCAATTAAATTTCAATCACATCCCATTTAAGAGTGATCCTCTTAAGGGTGTTTTGTTGCATAGTGCACTAGTATATGTGTTGTATAGGATGGTATGATCAAACTGAATCTCATTGAAAAGGGGTTGAGTAAGGGAAAGGAATTGATGATTGCATTTGGTTTGAGTTTGATGGAGATTGGCATTTTCAGTAGTTAGAAAAGCTATTCTTTTTTAAAAGCTCTTTTTACTGCTACTTTTTTCTTGATTGTTGAAATCTTTTTTTGTTTTGTTCCCTTTGGTGTGGCAGATTTGCCTGAGAATCAAAGTGGGCTTTCACACCACAAAAAGGGAACATTGCCCACCGTACCCACCACCATTCATACGGCGTGCGCCGGCGCCGGCGCCGGAGTGCCATTATTCTCAACGTCTAATGTCAACGGCGAGGCTCTGCAGAGTGTGTTTGCGTCTTCAACCGTAGCCGGAGACTCGCGTCCTACGCAGTTGCCTCCGGCGCCGGCGCCGGGATCTGCCGGTGCAAGTGCAGAGCCAATGTTTCTGTCTTTATCGTGTCCGATTTATCTCTCCGGCAACGCGGCTTCATCTGTGTTTCCATGGGCGGCGGCATCCCAAGATCTCCACCGGCAGTACGCAGCACCTAGCCGTCCCCCGCCGGCGCTCTCAGCGACGGCGTTGCTGCAAAAGGCGGCCGAAATCGGTGCAACGTCGTCTCACGGCTCGTTTCTCTGCGGCCTTGGATTAGCGACGTCGAGCGGTTCTAACCCGCAAGATGGCTTAACGAAATGGAACGAACATGTAAAGCAGGAGAATAAGTCAATCTCGTCGCCGTCGTCTCCGACGACAATGATCTTCACCAACAACCCTCCGACGCTCGATTTTCTCGGTGTGGGAGCGGGTGCCACTCCGGCTTCTTTTCTGGGCTCAATGAATAATAGCGGCGGCGGCGGCGGCGTGGCTTCTACCGGAGACTGTTGGGATGACACCTCCGATCGGAAATTCGGTTTCCATTAGCAAAAATATAATAATGAATGCTTTTTTGTCCATTCAATTCAATTCGTAGTTTTAATCCTTTGGCGTTTCAATCCCCACCAGGATCCCAGAAAAAACCTTAATTATAAATCGTAGTCGCAGGTTGATGGAACTTAGTTTTGTCTGTATATATTGTCATTTGATTATGTAGCTAGCAGGTTAGTGATGATTTATAATACTCGTTTTGCAGATATTATTATGCATAACAATTCTGCATGCCCCCCCCCCCCCCCCCCCCCCCCCCCCCCTTTCATATGGCAAATTATACCTTGTCCAAAAATAATCTTCAGTGTCTATATCTATAGTTGAGACATTATGTACCCGTTGATAGTTTCTACATCTGTAGCTTATCATTCTGTATTAACTGTAAATATGGCATCGGGATTGGACTTCCATATGAGAAATTGTGAGTTCGAGCCTCAATAGAGTCATTATTGACTCTTTGTGTTTCAGTAGGTTGAGAAAATATATATTGTAATAGAGTCATAACATTCAAAAAAAAAAGATGTGTTAATTGAATATAAGAATTTTGTATCAGGGATCACAATGCAATATAAAATCTGGTTCATGATATAACAATTGCCTTCATATTGACGCCTAACTTGATCCAGAACTCACCTAATCGCGAGTCACATGTGACTTTTTTTAATTTAAAATGATAACAGTAATGTTATCAAATCATAAGGTATTTAAAAAAAAAAAATGAAAGATGGGTTAATCTTAGACGTCAAAGTGGAGTGACTAGTGATCTTGGACCCGTATCCCTAACAAATGGCGATTGCGACAAGGTTGAGGTGAGTGGGGCTGGAGCCAACTAAACGAAGATGATGGCGGAGAGTAAATAGGGGCCCTGTAGAGGTGCAGTCAAACCTCAACATTATTAAAGCGTGTAGTATGTTGTACTGTTACTCATCAGCCAGTTCTGAATTTCTATTTATTTCTTTTGTTATAACTAAAATTTATCAGCTTCATCAAACTATATATTTTGGATCCTATAAACTCGTCACAGGCTTATGAGAGAGTAAATCAATTAAGCTAATCTAACATCAAGATTCAACAAAATCTTCCACGAACACGAACTAAACCCCACATTGTTGCTAAAACAAGTCTTTATGTGATGTTTCTTGTCCACTAGATCAATGTTCTGGAGGTACCATTCTGAATTCTCAAATGTTTCACCTCCCTTCTGGCTTCTTCAATGCACACTGGTTCATGATCATCGTGTTTTCTTTTAAGCACACTCTCGTTTTTAGGGATGACAACGAGGCAGGACGGAGAGTATAGAATACTCCCCGTCCTCATCTCTATCCCCGACGGGGAATTAAAAATGGTCCCAATCACCGTCCTCGCGAAGAATCACATATATTTCCCGTCCCCGTTCCTGTTCTTCGAAATTTTTTTCTATCCCCGTCCCCATCGGGACAGGGATCAGGGATTCCCGTCGGGGTCGGGGCAAATTGTCATCCCTACTCGTTTCACTAAAAGAAACACAAATTAAGTAGAGATCTCTTAATGTTAGCATAACGCTAACTATATTCTATGACTTCTTTATAAGTTAACATAAGCACTATCTCTAACGGCTAAGAGCTTGCAGTTGACACGTCTGTCACTCCCATTCATCAAAATAGTCAAAAGATAGTTAAGTCATAGAAGCATCTAACAACTTAGACAATAAACCAAAGGTCTAAGTCCATAAATTTGAAATATTCTTAAATATACACCATAACTTCCCAAATAACTTCAATGTCCACTTTAAACGAACTGAACATAATGAGTCTTACTTATATGTCTCACAAAATTGTTTTAAGCCTTACAAACCAAAATGACCCAAGATCAATTTTGAAAAAAAACTAAAGACTCTATTAATCACTGAAGAATTTATTAAATAATAGTGTACCCCAAGTTAAATACTTTTGTTCTAATAAATTCCTTAATATTGTTACAACATTTTCATAAATATGTTGAACAACCAAATGTTTAAGAATTTGAACTTATGAATTTATAAGAACAAATACAAGATTAATACTTGCGAAATCTTTTGGACTTATTGTTAGACATACGATCCAATTTGTATTGGAATGTATGAAGACAATAATTAAATTCATAATCTTTAGTAGAGTATCTTAATGATCTTGTTCTAAATGATTACTTTCACTGATTAAGATATTCTTCAACGAAATTAATAATATGAACTTAATATATATACATACTTATAATTTATTTGACCAACTAAATAATAAAGATATAATTTCTTACCAATAATTGAGCATACTAAATAATAATTTTTTTTTAGTTCTAATTAAAGTCCAACACCATAATGAAGATATAGCACACCACCTCAACAAGTCGAATATTGTAAAGTTGTATTTAAATTTGAAAATTTACTCTTTCGTTAGGATTGCATTTCCATGAGTACGAGTCCGTGAGAAGTATATTGTTAAATTCAAATGACACTAGGCTGATTTTTTTATTTTTTATTTTTGTTTGATTGATACATTGTGTTAATCAACTTACGTCTGATTAATCATAATCGTACGTCTTGAATTCCAGCATGATAGATTATTGATATTTAATTGTGTAATTTCAACTATAAATTATCTATGGACCATGATCATCATTGCAATGTAGATTATATTACAATTAAATGTTTATTTTTATTGTACTGAAATTATATTTTTTTGAAAATATACTTAAAAACGGACCTACAGACAATAAATTCATAATGTGCTTAAAAGGAACCTTCAACATACTATTAATGAACCTTATGATTAACGGTCAATAATTCACTATTGTATATATAACGATTGAAATTCGACTTGAGTTGGAATTGGGCTTTACTTGACTTATATTATATTAGATTTGTTAAGACATATTACTAGGCTTGATCGACGATTACCTTGGCTTTTGCCAATATTAGCTCACCCCACAGTGACACAATTACACAAAATAGCAATCTCGATCATCATATATATATATATGACATGTTTGATGAGTCCTCAAAATTATTCAAAAATTGGAATGTTGCAAGAGAAACCTCAATTGGGAAATTAGTATCATATTACGCATTGGTTTGTTAATCAACCCTAAAATATCAAAGTGAAACAAACATAACCTACTTGCAAATAAATAAATAAAAATTAGAAACAATTTTGTTTGAATTTCGAGAGAAATTCGCAGTCATTATATGAGGATGTGTGCTAGGTAAATCTTGTTATTGTATAATAGTTTGCAAACTACTAATGAGAGGTAAATCATACAATGCAAAATCTCGTGCAACACGCTTGACCAAAAGAGTAAATACACAATTTTTTTACCATGGATCTTTCGATCGATTATGATTCGAAAAAAAAATTAACAGATCATATGGTGAATGTTGAATGTAATATTACAGATTTCGCCCTTGTATTTAAAACAAACAAATTATTCTACAAAAGGCATTTTATAGTCCGTTCGGTTGGAGGAAATTAGGCTTTCACTCCCACCTTATGAAGACAAGCAAATACATTCGCTTGGTTGAAAGGAGTTGCAATTCTGTAAAATTTAAATATTATATAATTGACGTTTATACAAATATGTAATAAAATTAAAATTTTAATATTATTACCATAATCCAAAAAAGTATAATTTATAAATTATAAATAAAATCATGGGCCCCAAATTTTGAGTTTTCTTAGAGAATGTAGAACTCTCTGAACTAGTTCTTAATAAATCAAAGTCTAAAAATCTAGATCTGTGAGGTTATAATAATATGATGCACAAACCATTATATATGAATGAAAATGAATTTCGACAATTCAATTGGAAAAGAATATAATTTTTTTTTTAGATTAAATAAATAGTACCAAAATTTAACACACGATCAACAACTTTTATTACTTTCAAATTTTGAGCTTACATTGCATATGATGAAATAAAAATAAAATAAAATAAAAAGACACAAAAGACTACATAAAATTTGAAAAGAAAAAAAAACATAACATACATCTCCAACAATATCCTTTAAGGAATGTGATCTGATCTCTTTATAATACACTATTTATGAGGAGAACGAACTTGGCTTGAAACACTGTGAGCATCACACGATTCGACACAGTTAAAATAGCAACGAGGCGCGGGGTGCGCTGCACAATATTCAATGCAACACTCTCTACAACTTTCAGTGTGGCATTGCGCAGCTACGACGACGAAAACCGTCGGCGATAATGTTAAAGCCAACAAAAAAATGGTTAGCATTGGTATACAACTTCCCTTCATGTTTCTATTTGTGTTGTGGATGGCTTTCAAAATCAACATCCATATTTATAGGACGGGTGGGTGCATGATATAATAATTATGGTCTAGATTAAATGAATTTAGAAGTCTCTATTACCAAATATTTTAGGAGATTTTTTTTTTCTTTTTAAATTTGCACCACTTACGTTTTGTAATCTAAAGATGTAATTTTTTATTTTATGAAGTTAATCCCAACGGGATTTTAAAAGCGTGATTAGGTCCTTGATTTGTTGTCCATAATAGGACAGATTTGTTTCCAAATTTAAGCTGAACACATATGTACGTAAAATACATCTCTTATGACGTGTAAAGAGTTCTGCTAAGTTTTCAAGAGTTTAAGGATTTTTTTGGGGGGCAAAATTCTATTACTTTGGGTAAATAAGCAAAATGAAAAAAAAAAAAAAACAAACAAACAAACGCAACAAAAAACTAAAAGTAATAGAATTTTGCCCCAAAAATAAAAATAAAAATCCCCTTAAATTCTTGAAAACTTATCAGAATTCTTTACACGTCACAAGAGATGTATTTTTACGTACATATGCGTTAGGCTTAAATTTGGAAACAAATCTGCCCAATTATGGGCAACAAATTAAGGACCTAATCACGCTTTTAATATCATAAAATCTTTAGATTACAAAACGTAAGTGGTGCAAATTTAGAAAAAAAAAAAAAATCTCCTAAAATATTTGGTAATATAGACTTCTAAATTCATTTAAACTCTTGAAAACTTATCAGAATTCTTTACACGTCACAATTGATATATTTTTACGTACATATGCGTTCGGCTTTAGGTCCCTGATTTGTTGCCCATAATTGGGCAGATTTGTTTCCAAATTTAAGCCGAACATATATATACGTAAAAATACATCTCTTGTAACGTGTAAAGAGTTCTGATAAGTTTTCAAGAGTTTAAGATTTTTT